TACCTTCGTCAGGATCCCACTTCTGACACCAAAATTGAAGGAAATTTCCATCCCGGGTTTCCTCCGTGGCGTGAGCGATAAGCAGAGTTCTGTCCTTTCCTTATAAGATTCCTAATTATTCAAAGTAACACTCAAGTATGCCGTTCAGCGGGTTAGTTACAGCGCCGGGAGTAGCTTGGGAGAACAAGGAAACACAGACTGCTTCAGGTTGCTTTCCCATAATCAACTCAAAGGTTTATTAAGTACACAACAGCTTATATAGAGGAAAAAGGTTCGTGTGTCAGCAGGTTCTCAGTTCAAACCGGATGGCGGCGTGTGAACAACGCGAGGCTCAGTGTCTCTCCAGAATCTGCTATTTAGCGGTTTTTTATCTACTTTTAACCGGATTATTCGTCCAGAATTGCTGTGCGTTGCTGACCTACAGCAGACAAGAGCTTCTGGACATCTGGACTCACAACTCCAACAGTTTTATCGCCGATCTCCGACTCATCCCAGAGATCTCCAGAACACCGGAGGCTGCCCACTCTCCCCGGCCGGGCGGAAGTGCACGCAGACGGCGCCGAGATCGTAAACAAAGGCGAGGTAGGCGCGGAGGGCTACGGGCTAAGCTAAAGCTAACACCACACCGGCTGTCTTTACCCAGTATTTTTCTCGCCAATGTCCGTTCTCTGGCAAACAAAATGGATGAGATACGGCTCTCCATCACTAACAACAGACGGATTATGGACTCAAATGTCATGTTTTTCACCGAAACATGGTTGAACAACAGCTGCCCGGACAATGCTATCGAGTTAGCAGGACGCCACACACACCGAGCCGACAGGCTAGCAGATGACTCCGGCAAGACCAGAGGTGGAGGTTTGTGCATTTATATTAACAATGCTTGGTGCATGAACTCCACTACTACTGAGAGTCACTGCTCACCTAATGCGGAGTTTTTAATGGTCAAATGCAGACCTTATTATCTCCCCAGAGAACTCACTTCTATCATACTCACTGCCGTGTATATCCCCCCCGACGCTAATGCTAGGTTGGCCATGAAAGAACTTTCGGCAGCCATTAACAAACACCAGAATAAACACCCCGAGGCTGCTTTTATTGTTGCTGGCGACTTCAACCACACCAACTTAAAGTCAGTCCTCCCCAGATTCCACCAACATGTCTCCTGCCACACCAGAGGAGACAAGACTTTAGACCATGTGTATTCCAACCTGGCTGGAGCCTACAAAGCCACACCCCTCCCCCACATTGGACAATCGGACCATCTCTCCCTGTTCCTTACACCTAGGTATTCACCACTCATCCAACGTGTGAAACCTGCTGTGAGGACAATTAAAGTGTGGCCAGAGGGGACAGAGGCAGTGCTCCAGGACAGATTTAAAAACACAGACTGGAATATGTTCACCCACACAGACCTGGACCAGTACGCCTCATCTGTACTGGATTACATCTCCGAAACCACAGACAGTGTCACCACCCAGAAACGGATCACCATGTACCCCAACCAGAAGCCTTGGATGAACCGGGATGTTCGTCTCCTCCTGAAGGCCCGCAACACTGCCTTTAGGTCAGGAGATGCACACGCCTACAGCACAGCCAGGGCTAATCTAAAGAAGGGCATCAAAAAAGCCAAACACCATTACAAAAAGAAGGTAGAAGAACACTTCTCCAACTCCAACCCCCGACGAATGTGGCAAGGACTCCAGACCATTACAGACTACAGGACCACCAAACCCTCCCCCGCATCCTCTGATGTCTCCTTCCTCAACGAGCTCAACAACTTTTATGCTCGTTTTGAGCGAGGGAACCCCACAACCACAACCAAAGCAGACATGACGCCAGACCACCAACCTCTGACTCTCTCCCCCACCGATGTAGGAGCGGTGCTGAGCAGGATCAATGTCCACAAGGCTGCAGGTCCTGATGGCATCCCCGGGCGTGTTCTCAGAGCGTGTTCTGGGGAGCTTGCAGGAGTGCTCACAGACATATTCAATCTGTCCTTGGCCCACGCTGTGGTACCGGCCTGCTTCAAATCCACCTCCATCGTCCCGATACCCAAAAACTCCAACCCATCTTGCCTCAATGACTACCGCCCAGTAGCACTCACCCCCATCATCACTAAGTGCTTAGAGCAGCTGGTCCTAGCACACTTCAAATCCTGTCTCCCCCCCACCCTGGACCCCCACCAATTCGCATACCGCCAGAACAGGAGCACAGAGGATGCAGTCTCCATCGCACTGCACTCTGTCCTCTCACACCTGGACAACAACAACACCTACGCCAGAATGCTGTTTATAGACTTCAGTTCAGCATTCAATACAATCCACCCCTCACAACTCATCAGGAAACTGACAGACCTGGGCATCAGTTCCCTCATCTGCAAATGGTTACTGGACTTCCTGACCAACCGCCCCCAACATGTCCGGCTGGATAACCACTGCTCATCTACCATCACAATGAACACCGGTGTACCACAAGGCTGTGTAATGAGCCCTTTCCTCTACTCCCTCTTCACCCACGACTGCAGACCTGCTGATGGTTCCAACACCATCATTAAGTTTGCAGATGACACCACGGTGATTGGCCTCATCAGTGACAACGATGAGGCCGCCTACAGGGAGGAGGTGGATCGTCTGGCTGAGTGGTGCGACACAAACAACCTGCTGCTTAACACCGAGAAGACCAAGGAGCTCATCGTGGACTACAGGAGGAATGCTGACCCACATCCACCCATCCACATTAAGGGGACGGCTGTGGAGCGTGTGAGCAGCTTCAAGTTCCTGGGAGTCCACATCTCCGAGGATCTCACCTGGACGACCAACTGCTCCAAGCTGGTCAAGAAGGCTCACCAGCGCCTCTTCTTCTTGAGGACTCTGAGGAAGAACCACCTGTCCTCAGACATCCTGGTGAACTTCTATCGCTGCACCATCGAGAGCATCCTGACCAACTGTATAACAGTCTGGTACGGGAACTGCTCTGCCTCGGACCGGAAGGCGTTGCAGAGGGTCGTGAAAACTGCCCAGCGCATCGCCGGAGCACCACTTCCTGCCATAAAAGACATCTACAGGAAGCGGTGTCTGAAAAGGGCTGGGAAAATCATCAAAGACCCCAGTCACCCATCACATGGACTCTTCACCCTCCTGCCCTCTGGGAGGCGCCACAGGAGCCTCCGGACTAAGACCACCAGGTACCGGAACAGCTTCTTCCCCACAGCTGTCAGACTCCTGAACTCTGCCTCCTGACATCTGACCCACGTTAAACTCATGGACTGAACATACACACACACAATGGACAACTGTACCCTCAAACACACAATAATAACATGGAGTGAACCACCACTCACAACCACTAGCACTTTATATAGCCTCTGTAGAAACTATCTACACCCTCACTTATCTTAACTGCACTACTGTATAGCTCTGTGTAAATAATCATTCTGTACATTCAATAATCTTTAATCCTACAACTGTTTACAACTTGCATAGTTCCCATTTCTGTATAGCTGTATATCTCAGATTTCTGTAAAGTTATTTATTTCATATTCTGTATAGTTTTTCATATTTATATCCTGTTCATAGCTTGTACTCACTACAGCCTGTACATACTTAGTTATAGAATATTCACAACATACTTCATACCGTGTACATTATAACATACCATAATAGACCCATTTCTGTAATATACTTACATATCTATATTTACTGTAATATATCTATATCACTAAAGCACTTCTGGATGGATGCAAACTGCATTTCGTTGCCCTGTACCTGTGCATGTGCAATGACAATAAAGTTGAATTCTATTCTATTCTATTCTACAGACCAAATAAGGAAACGTCTTCCTGCCTTGTGAGCAAAGAAGTATCCTTTGTGTAGTTTATCAGTTCAGCTACATTTTATGATCATCCCAGCAAAATACACTCCTAGACATAGAATACAGAGTTCTTTCATTAGTAAAATTCTGAAACAAACCACCTGGCTTTTTAACAAGCTCTTTTCTAAAAGATAAGGAAGGGAGGATGGGAGTAAGGAAGTGGTCTCGTCTCTGTGGTATTTTCGACCTTGGGGTACCAGCCTGTGATTCTTACACATCAATTCTTGGGTCAGAGAGAAAGAGAAAAACAACTAGTAAATGGGCCTTATTGAGTAACTCTTTTCTGTATAATATCACTACAAAACAATATCCTGTAAATGCTACCATGGTATCAAAATATCACAACAATAGGTATATCTGTCACTCAGTAAAAATTCAGCCCTTTCTAGCTGAAAAGCAGTGGTAGGAGTCGTGCATAAACAAATGCCCAAAACCTCACTGAACTGAACAGTATTGCAAAAGCAGTGGGCCAGAAATCCTCCATAATGATGAAGGAAACTGAGAGTCATAGAAGAAATGACTAAGTTAATTTATTGCTGCCAAAAGGGGTTTTACAAACTACTGAATCGTGGAGTGTATTCCAGTTTTCATACACTGCTCCTGCATTTGGACATAGCTATTTCATCATGAGGTTGTAATTTAATGGTTCTAGATCTAGTAAGATCTAGATGATTTTTTGCTCATCTCCTGTTATGTAAAACCTTAGAAAGAGGGTACAGTTTTTCACATGCTTGTACTAGCAATGTAATACAGAAATGCATAACTAAAAACAACATACTCAACCAGTACATCATCTGTAATTGTATAGAAAGCTAAAATAGTTTCACAGGTTCATCATCAAGGCCCACGTTTCTACCTGGGCCTTGATGGTTATGGTATCTGCTTACTAAAAATATTTTAGTGTAATTTGTTGACTGCTGCCTGATCTGGATACATCAGTAAGGTTATTTGAGATAAAATGCAAGCAGTTTGAAGTATGTCATTTTTAAAAACAAAGATGTAAAACAGTTTTGTTCTTTTCTTTTCTGAATGCTGAGGATGGTGCCCCTTATTTGAATTCAGAAGAGCAGTACTCATCATATTATCACATATAGCCTGAGAAAGTATGAAACCAAGTAAATAATTACCATCCATCATAAGCCCAAAGCCCATTATAAAATGCAAGTCCAATTGCTCCAAAAGATGTTGCAGTGCCATCAAAAGCATTTGAAAAATTCTCTGTTTTTCCTAGACACAAATACATAATATACAATAATGTTAGTGGTTAAACATTGATTAACATTTATTAACACAAACATTTAAAGACAGAGCTGTATGTAAAGATCTATAAGAAGACTGACCTTGTGCCAACAGAACGATTCCTGCTCCAACTATGACAAGAATGATTATAAGTTTGGCTGCAGTAAAGAAGTTTTGCACGTAACTTGCCAGTTTGACACTTAAACAGTTGATGGATGTGATGGTCACTGCAAAATAACAGAAAATGTAATCATATAATTTCCTACCTATACATTTAACATTAAATGGATTTTTCAAAGAAGACTTGGTATTAGGGGTTAGTTTAACTCATAATTCTAAATTGCCCACAGGTGTGAATATGAGTGTGAATGCACGTGGAGCAAGCTGTCTTTTTGTGTTAGCCTTGTGACAGACTGGCGATCTGGCCAGGTCACCAGTCTCGCCCTATGGTAGCTGGCATAGGCTCCAGCCCCCACATGGCCCTGACAAAGATAAGCAGAAGAGAATGGATGGATGGACACAAACCGCACAGCTGGTTTAACTGCTGGCACAGATGGTGGCAGCTGAAATGGCTGCGATGCATGTGGAGCAAGCAGCAGAGCAAAGAGAGCAGCTGTGGAGACTTCAGGACCGAGCATCAGGCACAGATTTTGGGGAGGTGGGTGAGGGTCACTTTGCCACCGCCCCCTCGTCCACTGGCGGTGATGATATACTGGATGGGGGAGGGTGACGACCCTTGGGTCTTTCTGGAGGCATTCAGAGCCACAGGCGTAACAGTGGCAGAGTGGCTCAGATGGCGGCTCTGAGCCTGCCGCTGGCCTCACGACGAAGCTTCAAGGGCATCTGCCATGGATAACTTGGGCCTCTACCCGGAAGACCATCACCAGCGGTTCCGGGACAATCAAATGATGGCAGAGGACCAGCTGTTCATATGGGCCTGGAAGCTGCATGACACAGCAGTGAGGTGTCTGCAGCCCGGCCATCAGAGGGAGAGGCGTGGCAATGATGGTTCTGGAGCAGTTCATGGACGACCTGGAAATGGCACGTTGGGTCCGCTGCCATCAGTCAGCAAGCTTGGAAGCCACGGTCACCCTTGCAGAGGACCACCTGGCTGCACGGACCGAGGCAGCAGAGATCCACAGCCAGCCAGGAGACCACAGCTCATGCAAGCACTGAGATAGAGGCTCCCTGGCCCCTCCTTAGGGGAGCAGCAACTGGTGCTTTGGGCCACAAACCATTTTTCACCTGGTCCGCTTGCCCAGGCCCTGGAAGGAGCAGACAATGTATCCAAGCCACGGTGGGTGGCATAGGAGTGCTGGAAGTGCAGGCGGCTGGGATCTGAGTGTCTGTTGAGGTGTTTCACATACCTGGGGCTCCAAACACCTGCCCTGGTCCAGGAGGGATGTACAGCATTCCAGTAAGTTGTCAAGGGGGTACACGCCAGGCTTTGGTGGACACGGATAACACACAAACCCTGATCCACCAAACCCTAGTGGCGAATCCACTCTGCCTTTAATAATGCCCAATGGCAAATGGGCTATTAATGAAGGCAGAGTAGATGGAGGTGAACTGTGTTCCTAGGGATCTTCACAAGTATCCCATTATACCTCTGCACATAAAGTTCAAAAGAAAAATGCATACAGTGAAGGCTGCAGATAACTCACGTCTATCCCCTATTTCTGGGAACAATTTGCTAGGGATGTGATACGAATGGCTATCCGGTGGATGGTCTACTCCAGGTATTACCTCCTGGAATGCTCATCTGTTTCAGGTCATCTCCTGAGTTGGGATCATGAAAGTGATACTGACTGATCAGGGCACATGATTCATGTCTCTCACACACTTAAAGAGTTGTAGGAATTGTTGGGAATTAAATCTGTTCAGACCTACAGTACGTCTACCACCCTCAAACTGATGGGTTGGTGGAGTAACTGAATAAGACTTTAAATTCCATGATTTGCAAGTTCATTCACAAGGATGAATGCAATTGGGATCACTGGTTAGACCCTTTGTTATTTGCAGTGAGGAAGGCTCCCCAGGGCTCCACAGGACTTTCAGCCTTTGAGCTACTGCTTGGCAGAAAGCCATGGGGGGTGTTGCACCTGATTAAAGAAAACTGAAAGAAAGGTCCAAGCCAAAAATGAGATTCAATGCATCCTGGACCTGAGAGCAAAGCTGCACACTTTGAGGAGGTTATCTGGGGAAAATTTGCTCCAGATCTGGTAACGTCAACACTGTTGACTCAGGCAGTTTTCACCGAGAGACAAAGTACTTGCGTTACTTCCTTCTTTAAGCTGAACGTTACTCACCAAGTGACAAGGACCCTTTGTGGTCACACTACAAGTGGAGGACGTTAACTATGAGGTGGTGCGCTTGGGGAGGAGCCACACAAATATGTCACCTCCACATTGTGAAAGCATGAAGAGAGGTGGAAAGCGCTTCTCTGGTGAGCCTGGTTAAGAAAAGGCTCAGCATGTGCGGAGCATGTGCAATGGGTGGCTGGGATCCTGGAGTCCCTGAGGCAGCTGGGTTCAGATCCAACCTGAAGAAGTGTGCAGTTGAACAGAGGGAGGTCCAGTATTTGGGGTACCACTTTGGGGGCGGACAGGTGCACCCAAAGATGGAGAAACAGCATCCATCACAGCCTGCCCATGTACTACCACAAGTTCATGCCCGGAAGGGTGAACCAGATCTGGTCCAGTGGATGGAGTGGTGTCAGGCGGCATTTGTGTAGGTGAAGAAGCCCTTCTTTGGGGAGGTCCCCACACCTTACTTTTCCCTCCCTTTTTGTCCTGCAAATGGACACCTCGAATGGAGGGCTGGCCATTTTGTCCCTGCAGGTAAGGGGGGTAAAGTGACCGATCTTGTACATCAGCCAGAAGCTGACAGAGCGAGGAAGAGCTGGTGACAGGAGAGTGGAGTCAGCTGGAAACCTGACTCCTTTTACCCCAAAACACTGTGGAAGCGCAACAAACAAAAGAAACACATAGCAAGAATACTGTGCGGTCTGAGTCATGTGTAGGCTTCACAGTTAGCTTTAATCATTTTAATTTCAATAAAAGTTGTTGTTTTTTTACATCTGCAAATTGGGGAATGACATTGTTCTGGACACCTTACAAATAAGGCACACATTAGCTTGAAATGGCTAATATGGCCTGAAAATCGTGGTTTCCATTGTAAAGTATAGTCATGTATGAACTTCTAAAGTGACTCTGTACTTGTGTATAGTTTATTGCTGTCAAGCATGAACTTACATATAGCCGCTGCTGCTAGACACTTGGTGACATTTAGAGGTGGAGAGCAGCCAGGGTAGAAAGGAGTAGAGGCATATTCTGCAAAGCTCAGTGTGATGATAGCAAAGGATGAAGGCTTTAACACCATAATAGTTGTCCAGGAGTAAAGGTAGGCAACAATAGAGCCAAAAGCCTCCATGAAACAGGGGTACTCGCCGCCTGATTTGGTGATCATGGTTCCAAGTTCAGCATAACACAGTGCTCCTATGCAGCCACACATAAAATCACAAAAACACAGAAAAGAAAGTTGTAAAACAACACAGAAGAAGGGACTTTCAAAACTTGAGTCCATGCATTCAAAGCAGTGGTAAGAAACCTTGCATGTCTGTGACACTCATATATGCTTGGTCATTATATCTCCCTTGCTTCTTATGCTCTCATGGGGCGATTGTGGCTCAAGAGTTGGGACTTTGCCTTGTAATCGGAAGGTTGCTGGTTCGAGCCCCGGCATGGACAGTCTTGGTCGTTGTGTCCTTGGGCAAGACACTTTACCCGTTGCCTACTTGTGGTGGTCAGAGGGTCCAATGTCCGGCAGCCTTGCCTTTGTCAGTGCGCCCCAGGGTGGCTGTGGCTACAGTGTAGCTTGCCATCACCAGTGTGTGAATGGGTGGATGACTGAATGTGTAAAGCGCTTTGGGGTCCTTAGGGACTAGTAAAGCGCTATATAAATACAGGCCATTTTCAATCCCGTTTACCTCTCCTTTTAGTTTTAATAAGCTTAAAATAAATGGTTTTAAATTTGTTTATTTCTAACTTTTTGTGTTACATTGCAGGTGCTTGTGCTTCCAGAAATAAATTTTATATATAAATGTAATATATATATATATATATACATATATATATTAGGGGTGCAACAATACACAAAATTCACGGTTCGGTTCGGTTCGATACTTTGGTGTCACGGTTCGATATTTTTTCGATTAAAAAAAAAACGTTCATGCCTTTTTAATTTGTCATTTATTAAATTTTCACGGCACATTCCGCACCACATCTCTGTGCGTTCATCATTTGTTTGAAGCCAGCTCACCTCCTGCAACTACTTTTCCGAGAATACGTGCTTCTTTTGTGGTTCGGACTCCTTCTGACATTTCTTTGGAGGTGGAAGAACATCACAGTAATTGCTTAAAGGAGCTTGCTTCTTTGACATCTTTAAGAGTTCTAAACAAATGTCTGTCCTCCTCCTGAAAATCTTATGTATGCAAACACGCGTTGCAACTTCTTATCTTGTGCCCGTTTTTTATTTTGACAGCGAATGCGCACCTGCGAACCACTTATGTGCAGCCCTGGTTATTTCGCTTGTCATATTGCAGCCACAGAAATTCTTTTGTCCATGAAACCATAAAGCTGCACTTTCTTTTTGCCTTATAGTCTGATTTGTCATAACTTTTCCGTTTTGTGGTAAGCTTTTCTTTGGCTGTCACTTCTTCACCCTGACCTGTCTTACTTGGCTCAGCAGAACTAAAATATTGTGGTGAGCTCAGACAAGGAGGAGACGAAGGTATCGTTTGGTCTTGCTTCCCGTGAGCTAGCCAGGGAGCACAGCCGTTTATTGACATCTGCAGAAGAACACTGCCGCTAGCTAACTGCTCAGCGCGGCAACAGCACAGCAACAACAACACACAGGGCGCCCTCTGACCCCGGAAGGACACACCGTCGCAGCGAGAGGGCGTCACCCGTCACTATGGCAACATAAACAAAACATAACTGTACAAACAGAACCCCGAACAGCCCTGACCCGCTACAATATGTATCCTGCTGCTTTTACACACGCACCCACATAACGCTCAGCGATTCTCTGCGCGATCAACCTCTCACATGTTTAAGCTTGCTGCGGGAGATTTCACTTGTCATGTTTGCATAGTAAGCTAACGATTGATAAGACGATGCCAGAGGAATTGGTGCGCAAATTATCATCACTCACCAATCAGTGCTGTCGCTCTCTATACACAGTTCACGCGATTGCAAAGTGAAAGCAAAAAACAAGCGCAAATTCAAACGCGATTTCAATATGTCACATATTGACAGTGGCTCACCAATGCCAATGACATAATTACCCAGCTACATTTCCGAAAGAATGCAAAACCATTGACATATATTTTTCCTTCCTACGATAGCCCGACGGGCAGGGCAGAGATAGATTTTGGTAGCCCGACTGGAAAAATCGGGATGTCGGCGATTTTGCGAGCCCTGTATCTGATTGAGGAATCACTCATCTTTGGAAAAGAGAGTTTATTACAGAGAAATGGCTCTTTCCAAAATAAAAGCTATACTATACGCTTCGTCTGGGCTATATTCTCAGCAGCATATTAAACATATCAGGTCCCCATAAGAAGAATCATGTGCTAACGGCTGTCTAAATGACTCGGGTAAAGTTTGTAGCATGCGTGCTTGTTGTTTTTGTCTGCTTCCACTTGTCTTTGCACTAGGATGATGTCGGTGTAAATGTGCAGTCATATTTGTTGTGTTCCCACTAGTGCTGTCAGCGTAAATCTCGTTGAAATGACGTTAACGCCACAACACGGCAAATCTCCGTTAACGAGCTACCGCGGATCGCCCATGCATGGGGCTGGACGGCCAACACCTTAACAAGCTAACTGCGCTAACACACTAGCTCCCACCCATGTAATTGAGCATTGCGTGGCACATCCAACATACTGTTTTACTTTAGTCCATGACGCGCTTACCTTCAGGGTCATACGTCACATGAAAACCAAAATAGTTCCAAACGCCAAATCTGAATGAGGGTGGGGGAGGTTCAATTTGCCATGTTGCAAGGAGAGCTTAACTTCTGTCTCGCTAGCTTGCCCTGCGCTCAGTGAATCTGCTTTCGACTACTCCGCCTAGGCTGCACTGTGGAGCGCAGATCCACTGAGCGCTCAACACAGACAGCATCGTCAGAAGGAAAGTTGATAAAATAAATAAAAAATTTATTTTGTATTGTTCGATACATATGGGTACCGAACCGAAAGCACTGTATCGAACGGTTCAATATCGATACGAGTATCGTTGCACCCCTAATATATACACTCAACAAAAATATAAACGCAACACCTTTGTTACTGCTCCCATTCCCCATGGGATGGACGTAGAGACCTAAAATTCATTCCAGATACACAATATAACCATCCCTCCCAAACAGTGGTCACAAATCAGTCCAAATGTGTGGTAGTGGGCACATCTGCTATATTGAGATAATCCATCCCACCTCACAGGTGTGCCACATCAGGATGCTGATCTGACAACATGAGTAGTGCACAGGTGTACCTCAGACTGCCCACAACAAAAGGCCACCCTGGAATGTGCAGTTTTGTCTCACAGCAAAATGCCACAGATGCCACAAGCAATGAGGGAGCGTGCAATTGGCATGCTGACAGCAGGAATGTCAACCAGATCTGTCGCCCGTGCATTGAATGTTCATTTCTCAACCATAAGCCGTCTCCACAGGCGTTTCAGAGAATATGGCAGCGCATCCAACCGGCCTCACAACCGCAGACCTCGTGTAACCACACCAGCCCAGGACCTCCACATCCAGCAGGTTCACCTCCAAGATCGTCTGAGACCAGCCACCCAGACAGCTGCTGGAACAATTGGTTTGCACAACCAAACAATTTCTGCACAAACTGTCAGAAACCGTCTCAGGGACGCTCAACTGCATGCCCGTCGTCCTCATCGGGGTCTTGACCTGACTCCAGCTCGTCGCCGTAACAGACTTGTGTGGGCAAATGCTCACATTCGATGGTGTCTGGCACGTTGGAGAGGTGTGCGCTTCACGGATGAATCATGGTTCACATTGTTCAGGGCAGATGGCAGCTGAGAATGTCCCAGTTCTTGCATGGCCAGCATACTCACCGGACATGTCACCCATTGAGGATGTTCGGGATGTGCTTGACCGGCGTATACGACAGCGTGTACCAGTTCCCACGAATATCCAACAACCTCGCACAGCCATTGAAGTGGAGTGGACCAACATTCCACAGGCCACAATTGACAATTTGATAGACTCCATGCGACGATGTGTTGCACTGCATGAGGCAAATGGTGGTCACACCAGATACTGACTGGTTCTGGGTCCCCAGACCCCCAATAGCGCAAAAAACTGCACATTCCAGGGTGGCCTTTTGTTGTGGGCAGTCTGAGGTACACCTGTGCACTACTCATGATGTCAGATCAGCATCCTGATGTGGCACACCTGTGAGGTGGGATGGATCATCTCAATATAGCAGATGTGCCCACTACCACACATTTGGACTGATTTGTGACCACTGTTTGGGAGGGATGGTTATAATGTGTATCTGGAATGAATTTTAGGTCTCTACGTCCATCCCATGGGGAATGGGAGCAAAAACAAAAGTGTTGCGTTTATATTTTTGTTGAGTATATATATATATATATATATATATATATATATATATATACATTCCATCCATCCATCTTCATCCGCTTTATCCGAGGCCGGGTCGCGGGGGCAGCTGCCTAAGCAAAGAGGCCCAGACCTCTCTCTCCCCAGCCACCTCCTCCCGCATATCCGGGGGAATACCAAGGCGTTCCCAGGCCAGCCGAGAGATATAATCTCTCCAGCGTGTCCTGGGTCTGCCCCGGGGCCTCCTCCCGGTGGGACATGCCTGGAACACCTCACCCAGGAGGCGCCTAGGGGGCATCCTTTTCAGATGCCCGAACCACCTCAACTGGCTCCTTTCGATGTGTAGCAGCAGCTGCTCTACTCTGAGCCCCTCCCGGATGGCTGAACTTCTCACCCTATCTCTAAGGGAGAGGCCAGCCACCCTTCGGAGGAAGCTCATTTCTGCCGCTTGTATCCGCGATCTCGTTCTTTCGGTCACTACCCACAGCTCGTGGCCATAGGTGAGGGTAGGGACGTAGATCGACCGGTAAATTGAGAGCTTCGCTTTTACACTCAGCTTCCTCTTCACCACGACGGACCGGTGCAGCGTCTGCGTTACTGCAGCTGCAGCCCCAATCCGTCTGTCGATCTCCAGCTCCCTTCTCCCATCACTCGCGAACAAGACCCCGAGATACTTGAACTCCTCCACTTGGGGCAGGAACTCATCCCCGACCCGGAGTGGGCACTCCACCCTTTTCCGGCTGAGAACCATGGCCTCAGATTTGGAGGTGCTGATCCTCATTCCCGCTGCTTCACACTCGGCTGCGAACCGTGTATATATACATTATTATATTTATATAGTGCTTTTTGAGTCTTTTCTAGTACGGACTACTCAAAAGTACGGATACTGTGTGAACTTGTTCCTATTTTGACCATCGTTATTTGTCTACATGACTTGAAAAGAATATTAGATTCCTGATATAGCAACAGAACTGGTTGCTGAATACAATGAAATATGAGTTAAAATGTTGGTCTCACCAAGAGTAGATAACACGCCGCAAGCAGTCCAGATTAGGAGGCAAGGTCCCACAGCTCCCGAGTACAGCAAAACAGACTTTGGGGAAATGAAAATGCCTAAGCCAATCATAGTCCCCACAATGAGACAAATGCCACTCAGCAGACCAACCTAAGCAAGCACATGGAAAATAAAAAATATTAATGTGTTTTTTCAGTTATTTAATGTCAGTAACTGTTTTCAGGAAACTATCATTCCCATGTGTTCTATAACATCATAATTATATTATAAAATAATATTTTTTTTAGCAACACCGGTTTAATGCGTGGCTGTGCTTCAGCTCTTGGGATCTGAAATAATAGTGGAAATAGTTGATGCACCATTTCCGTGTCATATTTTGATTTTAAGTTGGTTGACAGCAGCAGTTAAACTCAAGAACTGGTTCAATCAGATATCATTACATTGCCACGCTGAGTGAGGCAGAGTAAGCTGCTAAAGACTAAATTAAAGATGAAGAAGTCCCTTATCATTAAAAGCAAAATTCTCACATCTCACAACATGTGAAAACAAACAGCAATGCCACTTTTATAGGTAATTTCATTTTTTAGTCACTATAGATAGATCAGGCAAGAGATAAGGGCAATACCCAGCAATACCTAGTCATGAAAAAAAAAAAACAGAGAGGCTTGTCATCTCTATACTTGTTTAGAAATTTCCCAAGTATCCTTGAGAGGAGCAAAGAGCTGGTTTAATGTTCCTCAACCAGAGTGAAACCACATTTTTTATTCTGAATCTGAGGTCCAACAAAGGGGCAGACTCTTCTCTTTTGTACCCTTGCATGCATCTTGTAAGGGAGGATACAGAGTATGGTCCCGTCTTCATAAAAAGGATGACCACCACTTTAGTTTGCACATTCAAAGACACCACCTTGACCACAATGTTTCAGAGGCATGTCAGCACACACCCTGATATCCCTTTGTTGGTGTTGATCTGATATCATCATAATAATTTTGGAGGAGGATCCAAAGATCAACACAACAACCAACAACCTCTGAGTTTTCAGTTAGTATTTTCCAAGAATTTGGCTAATCCTATTACATTTTCACAAGTAAACCAGCATGAGTAATGTAAACTGGCTACAGGCAAACCTAACTTGATAGTATATTTATTATATTGTATTGATTAATAAAGAAATACAGAAAAGACACATCCTGGGGTTATTGAATCCAGGTCACTGACCAGTGTCCGTGGCACCAAAGCGATAATTAACTAGTTAACTAGTAATTAAAAATTACACACTCTTTCAATTCTAATTGTTTTTTTTTATCAAAACATAATAGAAAAAATGGTTTCACAAAACATTAAATTATACTTTTTCATTTATTTAACAAAAATTAAGCCAAAATTCAAAAAGCAGTATGTAAAAAAACTGTCATGGTGCTGGGTCGTTGGCCCAGCGTTTTGTGTTTTATGATTATGTCCCTCTGTTCTAGTTATTCTGTGTCCTCCCCCCTTGTGTCCGGTTCGGGTTCTAGATTTCCTGTTTTGTTCTGAAAGTCTGTTGTCATTGTGTTCAGCTTGTCTCCTCCGGTCCTCATGTGTATTGGGTTCAGCTGTTCTTCCCTCCTGTGTGTGATTACCCGATTACCTTGTGTGTGTATATTTAGTGGGTGTTGGTCTGTGTTCATTGTCGGCTCGGCTGTGTTTCTTGGTATCCTGCTCCTTAGTCTGCGTCTCTCTGCTCCACTCTCCGTTTCGTTAAGATTTCAGGTTTGCTCTTTAGTTTCTCCCAGTTTAGGTTTCCGTTAGTATTTTCTCATGCTTCGTTGCCTGTTTCTGCCACTGCCACCTTGTAAATAAACGCCACTCATATCATCAGTTGGCTGCCTGCATTTTGGGTCCTCCTTTCCTCCACACCACACGGCTCACCCCGCAGCCGTGACAAAAACAATAATAGAAAACTAAGTATACCTCATTCAGTGAGAATTGAGTACCAGACAATTGCCAATAATCAAATACACTTTTACACAATTAACTGATCATCAGCAAGTATGACCACTTCTAAGAGCAGAAACATTGTCAAGTTGTGGGTCTGAAGCATTCAAGTGTCTGATAACACAATGTTGTAAAGGAAAGACATTAGTAAAAATGTTAAAGAAGCAATTATTACTGCCAATAAATCTGAGGTTTCAAGACACTTCCCAATGTTTTCAACAGTGACTTGAAAAAGTAATCAGTAACTAATTACTGATTACGTCCCCCCAAAAGTAATCTCATTACTTTACTGATTACTTATTTTCAAAAGTAATTAATTACTTAGTTACTTTTTTAAAAAAAACATGATTTACAACCTGAATAGGTAATAAAGCAATAGATCTTTCAGCCCAATTCTACTTTCTCTGCATAATCCATCATACAAAATGTAATCAAGTAGAAAAGTCTCTTTTTAAACTTGTTTTATTAGTTTTAATCTTTTAACTTTATCCATCAAGCAAAAATTAAATTATAGGCAACATTCTCTGAGTGGAAGAAATTTGTTTGACATTTAAACCTATTTTCTGCGCATTCCAGCACATAAAATAAAATATTTTTTGTGTTTACACTCAGTCTTTCGAATAAATGCAAGTGAAACAGCAGAAAATAAATTAAATCAAAGACTCAGCGGTCCTGTTGCTCTATTTTCACCTGTATAGCAGGCTGATGTTTGCCCTGGTGCAGGTGTGCCGCAGCGGTCAGTGGAAGAATCCGCGAGTTTGTCTGTGAATTTCCCATTCCCTGGTAGTATTTGCCGGTGCTTGCTCGGAAGTTTAGGGGTTTTCTTCCCACGCAGTGAGCAGCGGACCCGCTGCTCTTCATCCTTTGCATGGACACTGCGACGGCGGATCTCCAGTCACCCCATCCCTGGACACTTCTCTACGCCGACGATGTCTTCCTGGCCGATGAATCGCGAATAGAACTGCAATACTAAACGCAGCAGTGGAAGACTCGCCTAGCTGACTTCGGCCTGAGGCTCAACACCAACAAGACCGAATACTTAGAGGCTGGCCCCCAGACCGACGGCACGATCAGCGTCGATGGAGAAGATCTGGCGAAAGTACCTCATTTCAAATACCTCGGATCGATGATCAGCAATGACGGCGATATCCTACTAGATGTACGAGCCAGGATCAACGCAGCGTGGATGAAATGGCGCCAAGTCACCGGCGTCCTGTGTGACCGAAGAATGCCCAATCGCCTCAAGTCAAAGATCTACAAGAGTGTAGTGCGCCCCGTCGCCCTCTATGGATCCGAGTGCTGGCCAGCCACCGCAAAGCACGAACAAGCCCTTCACACGATGGAAATGCGGATGCTGCGATGGTGCCTAGGCCTGACACAATGGGACCACGTCATGAACACCGACGTTAGAAAGAGGATGGGAATCGCGCCAATCACAGATAAGATGCAAGAAGCGAGGCTGCGGTGATACGGACATGTGGTACGGAGCGATGAGAACTCAGTGGTGAGAACAGCACTGCGGCTCAGCCCCCAAGGACGTCGACCTAGAGGCAGACCAAAGCGGAGATGGATGGACCGAATCAAGGACGACGTGAAGAAGATCGAAGCCGATCTGACCGACGCCCTTGACCGACCCAAGTGGAGACGACTTTGCAGAAAAGTGGACCCTGCAACCGAGCGGGAAAAACGCTAGGAGGAAGAAGAAGCAGTGAGTAGCGGACGCTAATGTTTTTGTCACTTTTTACGGAATGAAACTCAAAGTAAGGTCAGTACTTCCACGCTTTAAACGCTGCACGTTCATACTCTCTGATCTGATCTGCACACAGCTGTTGCCACGAATGTTGCACTCGCTTACGTCATTGTCATCAGACACGGTTTTAGTAACGCAGTAACGCAGCGTGCTTACGGGAAAGTAACAGTAATCTACTTACCTTTTTTACAATAGTAATCCCTTACTTTACTCGTTACTACAAAAAGTAATCAGATTACAGTAAAGTGTTACTTGTAACACGTTACTGCCCATCTCTGGTTGTCAAGAGTGAGTATTCCAGAAAATTCACCCTAAGGTCAGGCTGTTTGGTGCTCGGAAAAAAGACCCCCCAAAAAACAAGAGCTGCGTCTTCCATAGGCCTCTGCTAGCATGTTAAATGTTGCGGATCATGACAGTGCAATTTGAAAAAGACTATACAAACATGGTTTGTGTAGAAAGGTTGGAAGGAAAAAGCATTTTGTATCTAAAAAGAACATGGCAGCATAGCTGAAGTTTGACAAGTTGCATGGGTTGCCAGGTGAAATTGTAGGGTAAAAATGTCCTTTAGGCACACCATATCAACACAAACAACTTTTGACAAATGTTTAGCACACTAGTGGAAGGGTAATGGTTTGGGTGACTCAGCCACAGGACTTGGGCACCTTGTAGTCATTTAGTCAACCGCTAACTCCTGTATACAAAAGTATTCTAGAGTCAGATTTATCTGTCCAACAGCTAGCTTGACCAAAAGTGAGTCATGAGCCAGGAGAATGACCCCAAACACATCAGCAAATCTGTAACAAAGTGGCTGAAAAAAAGAAACTAATCAAGGTGCTGAAGTTCCCTGTCTAAGTCTTGAACCTAATTGAAAAGCTGCATAAACAAATATCTACAAACTTTAGAGCACTGAAGCAATATTGTAAAGAAAATTAGGTAAAAAAAATCCTCCACAATAATGTGAGAGACCAATAAGATAATAATTACTTCAAGTTATGGCAAATAAAAGTGGTTCTACAAGATACTGAATCATTGGGTGTACTTAGTTTGTCCACAAACTGCTTCTGCATTTTGGCTCAGTTTTTGGTAAATAAATAATGAAACATTATAATATGCTATGTGTTGTTGTTCATTTAATGTTTATTTAAATCATTTTAGTACCTGGTAAGGACTGGATTTTTTTTTTTTACTGTCTTGAATTAGGATTGATGGAGGGTTACTTTTACCATGACTGTAAATGCCGATATAATAAAAGAAGACACGCAGCAGAATTACGTGTGCGCGCGTGTTTGTGTGTGTGTGTGGGGGGGAAGATATGCGTGTATTCACATCGTTTATGTTAATGAGAGTGTGGGGAGTGAGTTGGAGGGTGGGGTGAGCTGCTTTTAACCATGTAAAGCACTTTGTGCTACATTTTTTTTGTATGAAAAGTGCTTTATAAATAAAGATTGATTGATTGATTGATTGATTGATTGAAGAAGCAATAAAAAAGCAATATCACATAAAAACAAGTCTATAAAATGTGTTTAAAGAAGAGACCAAAGTAACTGATTTTCCAAGCCTTATCTCTTCAGGTAGGTCATTCTAAAGCCTAGGGTGTGGTCACTTTTAGATTTATGCTTCAAATGTGAGACGGCCTCCCAGAAGGGCCCTACCTGAGGATATAAGGATGCAAACATTGGGTAAAATCTTAAAAATCTATTAAAATAAACAGCGATCTGGTGGGGCTTGATATAAAGATACAAAGCCAGTGACTTTTCTTTATGCCAGAAAGAGAATTACAGAAGTCTGCAGGAAAATATGTGTGAATGGACTTTTCCAGGATGAGAGCAATGACTATCATAATAATCCTATTTTAACCTGAGAAAACCTTTCAGTTCCCATAAGTTTATTTTAGGTCTTATGGAGCTTATTAGGCGTCTGGATTGCACTGCTGAGTGGATGATTATGGAGTTAATCTGTAGAGACGCTTGCTGTGGTACTGCCTGGTACTCAGTTCCAAGGCTCTATTATTGTAAAAGGTAAGGATGATCCTTTAGTGTGAAAATTTAGTGAGACTTGTTCTCAGGAACCTGCATGTATATAAAAGTCAAGCACACTGGTTCATACTTACATCTTTTTGAAGGGCAACGGCCTTCACCACCTCCTTGTTGTCTTTGGTAAGGTCAGTGGAGCCATTCTGTGACTCCTTTCTCTTCCTTATTCCACTTTCATCCATAGCAACACACTGGTCTATGAGGTAACATAAGTGTTGACACACATTACAGACCACTTGCATTAACTTTTACAGGAAACACATCTTTGTTGTCCCTATAAAAGGTTATCATGACATGATAACGTTTAGAGGGAAAACTATGCTCTTCCATGGGCAGTAAATGTTCCCCTTCATCAAGATACACAGTGACTCTCAGAAACAAGAGCTCACTAAAAATCCACTCAAAGCCAAATCAAAACTAAATTTGTTCACAAATTGATTCCCATAATCTTACAGATTTAATT